ACTCTTTTGTGTGGCATACCCTCATTATGTCTGTCTGTCTGCCTTAATATACAGTTTCACTTGTTTTGAAAAAAAGAAAAAAAAGGAAGTATGGCTCATACGGGGACTTAGCAGACATAAAAACATATAAATAAAAATGGTACATACAACAGCCCACATGACCAGTCACAAATGAACAGATTGAAAAATTGTGGTACATCCATACAATGGAATGCTATGTAGCATGCAGGAGCAATCATTTTGTAAATTACTATCAAGCTTGGGAGGGAATGGAGAGCATTATGCTGAGTGAACTAACTCAGTCCAATAAGGACTAGTACCGCATAAAAACCATTGTAGAAGGAGTATGAGGATCCAAGGGGAAAGGGTGGAAGGAGTAAGGATGGTTGGAGGTGTGAGGTGTTAAATCAGAGTCACACAATTTGATGGGGGGGTGGTGAAGGAAATGAGAAGTATCTTGTGAAAACAGTGTATTTTAACTTTGTAAATAAAGCAGTATAAAATAAAAAACAAAACCATAAAAAAAAAAGGTAGATACTTTTACCATATTCATTCAATGTTTACTGAGTGCCAAAAACTGTGCAAAGTCATATGGTACCAAAAAAAAAAAAAACAACAAACAGGTATTAGTCTTTCTTCAAGATTTTTATTTACAGATGGTTTGAGAATAACTTGGTCTCTGAAAGACTGCGTTTTCAGTTAAAATTCTGAACATCAACTGGTAAGACTACTAAGATCCTGTTGTTAGTTGCCTCTCAGTTGCCCCCAGATCACGCCAACCCCACGATGAGCCACTTCAGACCACTGGGACCCACAGGATTTCATCAGGCCTTTTTTATTCCCCTTGGCTTCTGCCTCCCTAGGCCTAGAGGAGGTTGTGGAGGGTACGGCTTGTAAGGCCCTCCTGGGACCACAGCAAGGTGGCTTCCTTATTAGCACTACAGCAATACACAATATTTTGGTGACAGCCAAGTGGTGGCTGTGCTTGAGGTGCTTTGGCCAAGAACTGATCTACATCTATCACATGGAAGATGAATCCACTAAAAATCATGTGAAAAAATAAACTTACTCAGTGTCTATTAAATATGTACCTTGAACTAGGTGTCATGAAAAATACAGAATCATGGCTTTAAAAAGTAACAAGAACTAAAACTAATGAAATACGTGTTGGCCTCTACTTTCAAGCAGGGGAACAGACTAATTCATTCATAGCTCTGAGAGACCTATCTATGCCAAGAGTTCACTAGGGGTTAAAACCAAAGCCGACATAAAAATTTTAAAAATTGTTGTTTTTGTTGTTATACAACAATTAATTATATGTAAATCTAGACATTAAAGTGAAATACTATCTATTATACAACTTAAAGACCAGTCTTGAACATAAGTTTCAAATTAACAATTAAGATATATAAATAAAGGATGAAAATAAAATTACTTTTAAAAAGCAAAATGTCCTAAGAGAACTAAGTATGCCCATTCATAGAAGTTGTAGTAGTTTGCATTACTGAAACCACTTCAATCAGAAGATTTTAAAATGTACATTAAAAAACCTATGTCAGAATGAAGAGCTGCACTGTAACAGTAACTGGAGATCTCACTCACTATGGATTGTATGGCCTCATCCCACTAAGCAATTTTCACAATAAGCAGACTCATCACAAGAGCAAGTTAAGTGTGGATTCTAAAAAAAAAAAAAAAAAGGTGTGGATTCTTCTGATCAATTCCTAGGGCTGTGAATGTGTAAGACCTGAGATTCAGAAGTCTACAAACTGTAAACATTTTGTGATCCAGGAGATATATATCGCCCACTGACATTTTCAGCCTCTCAAGTTTCTTGGGAAGCTGTAATCCTGGCTGCAGTACAGGCTACTGCTGAGTAGTTAGTTATACAACTGCATAATCGGAAGAAACAAGCCTCACTCTACCAAGACACCTCTTGGGACATTTCCTGTGTTCCATACAATTGCATAAAAATCCTTTATTATTACCACAAAAAAAATTGCTTCCCTGGATTTCAGCATGCTTAGGAGAGCACATGGTAAGCAAAAAGAGTCAAAACAAGAAAGAATTTTGGTCATGAAAGGGTTAACAACTTGCAGTCACTGGACTTTCACAAGTAGTCAGGTATTACACTGAGGAGCCCTGCAGTGTTCTAACTTGATGGGGATCTTCATTTTATAAACAAGATAAGCTAAAGAGAGCAAGTTAGTTTCAAGCCTTACTCAAGTTTAGAGTTCCCCATTCCTGCCAGGCTGACACGTGTTCCACTCTTGCGGTGTAGGTTTGTCAAAGCCAACTGATGGGATAAGGCCCAGTGTGCTCACCTCAGTCCACGTGGGGGTTGTACTGTTAATTTTACAAGCAGTTTATCTTTCTCTGCAATTGGAATAAAAAGCTGGTTGGGGAAGAAATCGAGCTTTCACTCTTGTATCTCCTACACAGTGAGACATATGAATATTGTACTGCTTTCTAATGCCTTCCGTTTGAAAATAGCCTGCTTTTCGGCAAGAAAATACTTAGCATGTTGTAAGGCACATAATGAACACTAAATAGCAGCATATATTCTTGAGCCATGTCATGTTCTCTAGCCTCAATCAAACATGATACCACAAAACTAAACTCACTGCTGCTGGGTTCATTCCAAATCATGAGGGCCCTCTGTTTGGTTTCTGAGGAGGCAAACCTTTACAGCAGCAGGCTGCCCCCGAGGTACAGTCAGTGGATTTCAATCCCAAAACATATTGTACTATGGCATCAGCATTCCTTGAAATCAAATTAGTGGGTCATTATACTATTAAAGAAAGAAAGAGAGAATGGTTAGCGGGGTATTATAATTTCAAGGATATATTTTATTGTGTAGATTTCAATTAAAAAAAGTTTGAAAGCCAAATTTGGTAAATGTTAGCATAGCTCAACTTCTATACATCTTCATCACTCATTGGAGGAGATACTTTTTCACCCAATTAAATCCAACTACCTGGTCAACCTTCTCAATCTCCACCCATCAAAGATAATACTACGGTATCTATTCGCCCTCCTCCCTCAGCTCCCATAAAAAGAGAGAATGATAGATCCTAGGTCTAATGAGCACTCTTTTCAGTACACGAAGGAGTCTATGTTTCTTCTTTAGATGAGTCATCTAAGTATTATGATGCGCTTCAGACGGGATCTTGGAGCACCTGTCTTGCTACTTAAGACAGTCTGAAATTCTAGACATACCAAATAAGGATTTGAAAATTTCACAACCTGCCTCATCCACACAGGGCTTAGGCTTAATGAATGTGGTTTTGTCTCTCAAGATCCCCTTCTTTCCTTACCATGGAGCCCAGGCTCTCTATTTCTACCATAACATCCCCTTCTGGCAATCCTCTTGATGTTCTCTACAAATATAATGAATCATATTCACTCCTGACTTAAGGCAGGGAGCTGGAATGGTACAGTCTCGAGAAAGCTGCCCCGCTAACCTAAAGGCTGTGCATTTCAGGTGTTCAAATCCACCAGCTGCTCCATGCAGAAAGATGGCCAGTCTCCTCCCGGTGTAATTTACAGCCTCAGAACCCTGATGGAGGGTCCTTGTGAGTCAAAACGGACTCCAACAACAGAACAGTTATATTAGTTTCAAGCTAAATTCTATTTAGTCCAGTCACTTTCCTAGACAACTCCAACAGAACGAGTCTTCTACCCTTCAGTGGTGCACTGGTGCCTTTATGGTAAGGAACTGCACCGCCACTGAAAAGGCAGAGGATGTGAATCCACCAGCTGCTCCACAGGAGAAAGATGGGCTGTCTAACCATTAAACATTTTACCCCTAAAAGCCGGCTATGAATTGGTTCCTACATTAACAAAAAACAAAACAAAACAAAAAACAAAACACTTCTACTCTTCAAACTTTACTTCTGCAGCAATTATCATTTTATGGAATACAAGAATTAGTTGTGACTGTTTCTTACAGTAGCTTCCAAGAGTAAATGTGACTTCTGTACATAAGCCTTGCACTGCCTACCAAAAAATAGAGCACCCTACACATCGTTAAGGCCTTACTACTGACTTAATTGTACTGAAAGGAGGAGCGCAATTCCACGAATTTCAAAACACGCCAGGTGTTTTTTCTAACACTCTCCTCCCTTCATACCCTCACTTTGCTCAAGAGTATTTGAAAGATAAAATACTAGAACTTGGTATAAAGGGACACTACGGGAAAACGGTTTAAATAAAAAGACAGATGATACCCTCTGCATTCCCACACGTGGTCTACCAAGTGGGTGCCTCAACCTCACTCACTGCCTACACCACTGTGCTGTCACAAAACCTCCCACAACCCCGGAGTGTACAACAGACCACTTCGCTAAACTTGCCATAACTCTCGCTCGCAAAGAACAACATACCCCAACGTGTATCAAGTAACCAAGTGGGGGTGGTTTCGGGCCCCATTGGACCACTGTCACCAGAATAAGAGTGGGTCACCATCTGCCTTTAACTGTCCCCACTAAAATGGAAGGGCATTTAAATCGGAGTCCTTTTTAATTCTCCGTCAACCCCAGAATTTTGAGGTCACCCTATTTCCTCCGCTGGCTACGATCTCCGTGCGACTCGAGATAGCATCGGTCTCGCAGGCGCCAGTCTTTCCCTAACTTCCCAGCATCAATCAAGGGTCCCAAGCCCCTCCGCGCGCACGCAGGATGCCCCGCAGGCTTCCGTTAGGGCCGGCCCGCAAGCTTCCCGAGAGATGTCTTCATTTCTGGCCGTTGTTATTTAACATTACCGCCCCCCCCCCAGACCTTCCAACTTCCTTCCTCGAAACTGATCTTCCCTCTGCTCCTGCAGCCCCGGGGTTTCCACCACTCCCAGAGTGACCTGTCCAGCGATCGCCTGCTCCACCATGGGAGATGAGCGTCTGTCCGGTCTCGCCTTTCGGCAGAACCTCGCTTCCCACTCCCGACCCGGGGGGCTCGGCCTCCCGCCGCCCCGGCCCCTCTCTCCCGCCCCTGCGCTCCACTCACTTTGGGCTTCTCGGGCAATTTCTTCCGGTTCTTCTTCTTCTGCTCGTCGCTCCTGAGGTTCTTGAGCAGAGCCAGGTCGTCCGGAGCCGGGGCCGGCGCAGCGGCCGCCTCCTCCCGCTTGCGGGGCGGGCTCCTCCGTTTCTTGCGGGCGCCGGCGCAAGCCGCGGCCCAGCCGTAGCCGAGCAGGCACAGCAGCAGCAGCCCGAGCGCGCCCGTGCCCACGAGGATCACCCAGCCCGGGTACCGCTTCGGCTCCAGCCCCAGGTCAAGGCCCAGCTCGGTACGCAGAAAGCCTAGGCCGAGCGATAACATTTCCCGCAGCCGGGCCGAACCCTCCTCGGCCTGCTGGGCCAGCACGTCCTGCCAGCTCCGTGCAGCCATCTTCCTTCCCGCTAAAGGGATTTGCAGGAAGACGCTGAGGCGCAGGGACGCGGTCAAAGAGTCGAGAGGAGCAGGGAAGGGCCGAGCCGGGCAGCCTCAAGCCGAAGGCATCGCGGCCGCCCCTTGCGCCGGAGGCGGGGATCGGCCGCTGCTGGCGCGGGGAGGGCACAGAGGGTTCCCAGGTTCCGCGAGTCAGCCTCACCCCGCCGCCAGGAGGAGAAGAGGGAGGTGGGAAGAAGTCTCTCCAGCGGCGGCCGCTAAGTGGCGTTTCGGCACTAGCGCCCCGGCCCCGCTGTCTTCCCTCGGCGGAACAATGGCCGCCCGGGCCGTGATGTACGCTGCGCGCGGGGACGCCGGGGCGGGCCGAGGGTCACGTGGTCGGAGGTGGGCGGGGCGCCGGGTCACGTGGCTCGGGTGGGGCCGGGCTGGGCGGCAGTACTTGGGGCGAGGCTGAGTGGTTTCGTCGCTGATGACCGGTCTGGGCTTGGTGGCATCGCGGAGCCTGGGAACCAGGGCTACTGGGTGAACTCGTAGCCTGGGAGGGGTTCATTGGAGGTTCTGGCTTCTGGACCTGGGGCCAAGAGACGTGGCCCTCTGGTTGACTTTAGGGAGGAATCTTGGTGGCAAGTGGAAGAGGGTGATGAGCCATGTCTAAGCTCTAGGTCTAAGTCGCCTTGGAAGTGAAGTTTTTCGTTCTCCCTGGGAGTGAGTAGAAGACACTTTTTCTTCCTAAGATCACTAGCTGGCCACTTGCTTTCTGAGTGGGCCCAGGCTATGGGTGAGGCTAGATATTTTTCTTCGAGTAGTCTAGGTTTAATTCACAAATTGAATCCTTCTCCTCGGGGCCAACTAACACAGATTGCGTGCCTGCTACTTGCCAGCCTGGCTTGGGCGCCTTCGCGTCATTTCGCTCATTCATTCTCACTGTTGTTACTCCTAGGAATTCAAAAGTTGAAAAGCCCGTGGGCGGAACAATTCTTTTTCTACTAATTTGTAGCTTTAATAAGAAAAGAAGCATGTTAGATTATATTTACATGTTTCCTCATTACATTTTAAGCTTTTACATTATGCCGCAAAAGAAGTTTCAGAAATCTATTATTTTTATAAATTTTGTGGACTGGCCTTGCGAGGTAGTTTTAGAAGGGAGGCTTTTTAGGTTTTACTGACAATGTATTTATCAGTTCTATCTTTCTATGAAGAAACTAAGTTTTTTCAAACACCTATGTTACCTGATTAAAACAATGTTAAAATGAAAAAAAAAAAAAAGAAACTAAGTTTTATCTTTAAATGTCAGTGTGTAAGCAAGTGCCTTACGCTTTCTGAAAGAATTGAAGGGGGGAGTGATTTTAATAAGCACCAAATGCCAAAAATGTTAAAGGAGTCTTTTGACCTACTTTGTACCAGTGTTGTAATGCATGTTTTGATTAATGGATGAAAGAAAATTTGTAAATGATAATGATCTGCAAAGCTTGGTACAAACTTATAATTAAAGGCAAATTATATTCTTTAAAACTTTGATGATAGGGAATGATTGTATGAAACACAATGTGAATTAACAATAATGTGAAACACAATGTATACAAACTTTGTAAGCAAACCAATATAAAATTTTTTAAAATCTTTGAAGATATCACCAGGATCTACTTTTAATTTTAAAAGTTTCCAAATTCCATTTATACTTGTGAAGTTACATTTATAAGCCTATATGTGTTTAGATTCTAGAAACATGCAATAAAATTAAAATATAGTGCAATAAAGTTTGCCACCTATTTTAGTCTAAAGTGTGGATTTCCCTCGTCTTTAAACTATTAGAAAGGAGTCTTGGTGACACATGATTAAGAGTTCAGCTGCTTAACCAAGAGAGGTTGGTGGTTTGAGCACACTTAGCAGAAGATAGGACTAGTTTCCAATCTGTTCATAGGGTCACTGAGTCTGGATGGCATCTAAGAAAAATAACAGGGGATTTACCCGTTTCTTTGGTAACCTGGCAAGTATAATTCACTAAAATAGCACCTTTCTTCCTTCCATAATTGCTCATCAACCTAAAAACAAAACACAAAGATATGTTTACTGTATCATCACCCAGAGATATTGTGAAAAGAGCAAGGGCCACTTGGGGACAGCCATGTGTGACCTTTACCAACTTCAAAAAGGGGACCTCTCATCAATACAAAACAGCATCAATAATAAAACCAATTCCCAAGAGGTCAGACATGCCCCTCACGCTTCCATACCCTTTTCTACTCATCTCTACACCAAGTTTATTGCTTTGCTGGATCCAAAATCCAATGTGATAACAGGACCCTGTTAGGGAGGTCAAAAGGTTATAATCCAGGTTAGTAGGGAAATACAATCAAGACAGCTTCCGAAATGTGCTTGTAGGCTTTAGGTCAGTGTTACAAAGTTCTTAGTCCTATAAATTACAGCCACCCTCCTCCTTGTTGTCCATCAAACTTAGGCAAAGACTCTTAACTCCAGTTCCAATGATGAAGCAGTCCCAAGGTCCCATCTCCCATTCTCTGCTGTTAGTGCTATGAATGTTGGCTCTGTAAGCCCTCTTGTTTGCTCTTTTCCTAGTGGTGAAGTTTCTTACCAATGGCAGAGAAGTCTGTCCCTCTGCTGCTGCGTTACTCAGCTTAATAGCAAGACTAGACAATCCCCTCGTGGATTGGTGAGACTAGACAGTTCTCTGTGGATTGGTAGCCAATTCTCTTGTGGATAGGCCAATCTTCTATTTGTGTATTCTCGCCCATTTACATGGCAAAGTCAAATGATGGCTGAAAAACCATATTGAAAAATAAGTTCCACAGATACTAATTTTTATTTCTGACTTTCCAGGGAATCACTGGTGGCCCAGCACACAAGGAGTTGCACAGATAACCCAAAGGCCATACCTGTAGGGTGATTGAATTCAACCATTTGCTTTATAGGAACAAGATGGCCAATCTTTATTATTGTAATTTAAACCTCAGAAAGTCACTGAAGGGTCAGCTGTGACTGTTGCAATTTGACTGCAATGAGTTTTTGAAAGTTAAAGTAATCTCACAAAGTTAGATTTATTAACTTGCAACAGGATGGAGTTCAGGTAAAATTTAAATGAAGTAATGTTTTGAAAGACTCAAAGCAGTGGTATAAATAAAAGGGTTCATATCAACCTGAAATATTTGCTGCAGAAGATCAAAGACTGCAGCCTTCAAAATGGATTACATCTTGACATCAAGAAAACAGATCCTCAGCACTGGGCCAATAGTAGTACCATTGTAGATGGAGAAAGAATTAAAACTGTCAATGATTTAATCTTAACTTGGATCCACAATCAACATCCTTGGTTGTAGCAGTCAGGAGATCAGGGCAAGTTGGCTATCAGGGACCTCTCCAAAATACTGAAGTTTCTCTAGAATATAAAATATTATAAAAACCTGTGTGAGAGTAAAACCTGGATTTCTAGAAGTTGTAGTTAATGGGGACAATAGGATAGAGATCAGGGGAGAAACAGATGAGCAGAAAGAGGTACGAGAGTGTGGTGGGCATGTCTAACTTCAAGGAAATTTGTTTTGTGTTATTGATTCTGTTGATGGGGACAAGTCCCCTTTGTGAAGTTGGGAAAGGTCAGATATGGCTGTCCCCACATGGCCCTTGATTTTTTAAAACAGGCATACAAAATTAGACAAATAAAAATGAAGTTTGTAAAAAATATATCCGGTAAAATGTACACCATATATGGGTGAATAAGCTAACCAAATTTGCAATAGTGGGTATTTCTAGGGAGAACAAGCTATGGGATTAGAAGTGTACAGGGGACTACAGTGTTTTCTATAATGTTTTATTTCTTAAGCAAAATTATGGATACAAGAGTGCTCTTCACCACAACAAGATAAAGGTAAATAATCCAATAGAAAAATGGGCACAGGATATGAACAGGCACTTCACCGAAGACGACATTCAGATGGCTAACAAACA